TACACGATGATTGACGTAAAAATCGTTGTGAAACACCTTGGAATTCGTTTTTTAATGCGATGAAAAGGCCTACATCGCGACTGCGTGTTTAAGGCTCTGCGACGAAAAAAAAAATATGCAACTCGTTTTGATCGTCCCACCAGAACTTTTAATATACGTTACGTGTTCCGAGAGAAGCGAACAATTGTGCAATTTGTAACGAACTGTCCTGTTTATATACATACGTCTTATTGCTGAGCTGGTAGAAAAAGGATCGATGCACGAGTAGATCGAGTTGAAAAGAAAAGAAAAAAAACATTGGCAATCGCGATGCAGTTATACGGATTATATCGAAATCGCATATCATCAAACGTGATTCCATAAAGGGGATTCCACTCGATATCGATGTATTAATATGAATGATATCATCAATCGCTGCATAACGGCAGATCGTATCGTCGATACATACTTACTTGAATGTCAATTGGTGTGGCATGTCCAAACAAACGTATCATTATTGAGTTGCTGATCTCTTCCGCAAGTCCGATCCTTAACGTGATATATTCAGGTTTCATTTACATAAGAATGCAAATATTCGACATTTAATTATGTGTGTAGCTGTATATATTTCTGTCCAAATAATTAATCAAATGAAAAAGAGCATGACGCTGACATTACTTACTCATACATACAAAATTATACGAATATATTTATAGATAAATACATCATTAAAAGTCGAGAAGGCACGTCGCAGAATTAAAAACACAGCTGAAAGAAACTTTCATTTGGGATTAGTTTCGCGGGCATGAGATAAACAATTTATATACAACTTTGATCATTCATTTTCGTACGTTTAGCGAACAGAGTTTGCCTGGGTCAAGAAATTTTCGCCCGCACGACAGCTTCTGCTTCTCGTTATATTTAGACCTGACGTAGGAAAGAGGAGACAGCTTCCGCCTCGCGATAGAGTCAGCTTAGAAGGGTGCGTTACCAATTTGACGAGTAATGACCATAAAATTCATCTGAATGATCATATTAACGATCGGCAAACATCGAAGAAGAAGAATGATGATAATAATTAATAATGGCATTCAAAGTTATGGAAATAGATATATAATGTTTCTGTTGAATTGTTTACACGTCTGGCCAATGAAGGAACTAACAAGCCTTAATGGATGTCTATTGCTAAAGAAACAGTTAATTAAATGGATATCCAGTAGTTTGAAATACTTCATACGCATCTCGTGTTAATGTTCGCAACGAAAACACATTATAAGAATCGTGATATTGCGTTATGTATGTAGGTATATGAAAAGACTTATTGTTAGTAGCATGAGTTTCAAATGATGTTTGAGAGTATCTGCGGTAATCGAAAAATCTTCCTCGTCACCGGCGCCGGGAGATACTTCATTACCGTGACGAACGAACAGGTCATTTAAGAGCGTGAATGACACTTCTTAAGTAGGTGTTAAAGCGCATCTCTCGTGCCTGACAATGAGGTGCGATTCCACACGGTTACCACGTGTCCTGTCAAGAAGCATGAATTGCTTTATGTCTTGAAATATAACTACAGTTACATTAAGCATTCGTATTTTTAAATATACATCTCTCTTGAGTGCCTTAAGTACAAACACTCCATTATTTTATTCATAAATTCCGTAACCAGTTTTTTTTGGGTGGATTTTTATTTAAACATTCAATAATGTGGGTAAAATATCATTATTGTCATATCTATTATTTTTTTTTAGATATTCTTCACATTTTAAAAGATTAAAGAATGCTGATAAGATATATAAAAGGTTACTTCACAATGGCGACTATATATAAATGTTTGATGCTGATGAAGGATATGTAAATACCCAATTTTTAACATGTACGCACCGTTGATAGCGCGAATAACACGCGTGGATTACAACGCGACGCGCATAAGATTACCACATCAGCCTTGGGCCATCAGCTTTATACATATACGGAGGTATTGCCTGGCTGACGTGACGTCACGAATCTCTACTTGAGTCATAGTGGTCCAGGAGGCGGCGTGTCGTGCACGAAAGATACATGGATATCAGAATGTCCATCTTTAATGTGCATTTTGAAAAGTATCGAAATAAGTAAACGCACTTGAAAATTCCACATATAAATGACTATAAATAGCAAAAATAAAAATCTCAAATGTACATATACCTTTCTAAAAAATATTTAGATATTTATAAAAAGAAATGGCAGAAAAAAATAAAGATATATCTAAATTAAGAATATATGCTGCATGTTTATTTTGAACATCATAGATGTTCCAGTTTCCAGTAAATCCCATGTACAGATCGAATGCATGGATCTTAATGTATAGAATGTGAATATCTTCTTTAATGAAAAAAATAATAAAATTTTGGCGATATATCATTTTTTTATTTGTAGCAAAATACTCTCAAAAAATGGCATAAACTCTCGTAAGATGAATTAATTGAATTTGCTTTAATATTTTTGATTCTGCAGTCTCAAGTTGATTACTATAACATAATTATTATGTCCACTGCGATCGAGATGTAATTAGTTGCTTGAATAATGCAACGGATGAATAATTAGTAGTTTATGGACGGCCGCGGCGATGTAGTTATAGGTAATTGGGGAAGACTAAATTGAGCAAAATTTAACAAAGTGCTCAGTGACGAATAATTTAACGAAACAGCTCACGATGATTAGAGCTGGTATTGAACAGATATTGCGCGCTGTTCAATAATCACATATACATCGGTGATGATGGAGACGATTATCGGCACTCAAGCCGATTTGCGATAATACAAACATTATTCTCGATAGGGTAATGAGTGATCTTTTCAGACATATTGGAGATCAGTCAAGGAGAGAATTTAGAGTTAGTTTTTACAAAGTCGTGGTATATATAACATATTCTATCCGTCTATCTTCGAAGAAAAATTAGGTGGGAATGAGATTTGAGCGTTCTTTAATGAAACAAGCTTTTCGATCGTCATCGAGACTATCGAGAGAGATTTGTCGTCTCTCAGACGTGATCCTATGTCATAAACATTTAGGATCGAGCTGATGATTCACGAGACACGTTATTATACTTAATGTCATATTTAAGTGTGTCATTTGGCCGGGGTTTAGATCACCTTTCGAAATAGACAGAATTATTAATTCGTCTTCTTGTGTGTCTCTCGGACATAACAGGAAAAATAAAAAAAAAAAACGCGAAAAAAAACAAACGCTCGCGCACTATCGTTCTTTGCGAATAGCTTTGATTGCGTCGTCGTTGAATTGGATTCTACATGTGTAACATATATATTTCAATTTCAAAAGTTTTAAAATAAGATATAAAATTCATTAAATGTATAGAGAAAGAAAAATTATGCAGTGTAATGTATTATCTTAATTAAATGAAAAATTAGGAATGTGATATATTAAAATTTAAGATAGAAATAAATAAAATAAATACTTATTTCAAGAAATTCGTAAGTTTGCAAACAAATCGTACATAGAATTTAAAACCTAATATAAAAATGTTTAAAAAATTTTATGTTAAATGATTTTTTAATATATTTATTTAGTTCAGCACTTTTAAATATCTTTAGAAAATTTTGAGGGACATATTCATATTCGTACATTTCATCATAATCATTTCACGTATGAAACAACAGATTATACCATAATCATCGCGTAATTATATCAAGATGGTGTTAAGAATTTTAACTTGAAGTATGTGATTCAGATTAGTATGGCATTAGCAATAGACAATACGTTTGCGTTTCCTAGTCAATGATCTTCGGTGCTATCTGCCTGTTTTTCGAGTCACAGGCCAGAACGTGACCACGATAACGAACCGACAATACTCATCTGCTCAGACAACGTTACGTTTACGTCACGTTTCTCGCATAATATTCCTAATCTTAATGAAAACAAGTAACCGAGACCTTTTTGTTCCTATTTATAGATCACGGCAATTTCGTGGTGGATGAGCAAAGTAATGTGAAAAAGAAATCCTGATGTTACGATTGTTCCGATGACTTAGCGGTGCTTTTATCTTCACGTATATATATATTGAAATACATCTTTGAAAAATCACGTCGAAAACTAAAGAGATTAACAGCGGAGATATTTTACTAATAAAGCTACATTTAAATTAACATTTTTATTTCTGGATAAAAGTTCTATTATACGCCTCGATAATTTATATTTCCTAATTCACCGCAGTCACGCGGTTCGCCAATCAAAGCCCCGAGACCGCAGTGCGGTTAATTTCTTCCGGCCGTTCTTATTCCCGTGCGACTGTTTGCACCTGTACACGTGCTAATTCCGGATCGCGAAAGACAGGGAATCTATACGCGACAGCAAAACGGGAACGCTTTCTATGGTCGAACGAGATTCTGAACGAGGCAAAATGCGAAACCGTGGGCGAAGAAATTCCGCGGATCGATCTAATTCGCTCGCAACGAACGGTGTTTTATAGACGAATAATGCCCAATAGGGAGCTCGCGAAGAAATTTACGAAAAATTTATTTCGCCATGTACGTAGCTGACGGAGTGCTCGAACGAAACACGCGATGATGCACGCGACTGCGATTTGCAGAATTGCAGCCAACCAGTCGCCGCACGCAACCACCCGCTCGTCTGGACGCTAAAACGCGGAGCGCAACAACCCCCGTTACACTTATTTGAAACTTGAATTTGTTTACAATTTCCTGCAACTTGCGAAGCAATCATCGTGAGCGTCAATATTTTCTTTATCGATTGAACATAAATTCAACAGAGGGAATGAAACGATTTTGAAAAACAAAATAATAAGTAAGAGTGGAAATTGGAAGAAAAATTGGATGGTCTTTTTATATATACCGTGTTTTAAACAACACACACTTAAACAGTAATGTGCGCAGGTTTCTCTTCCTCTTCTACTTATTATTAGACTCGTTGAATATAAATAAAATATTGTGTTAAATATAGTTAAATGTCATTCAATCTCAAAGGCGCTATATTTATAACTCAATTTTGTTGCTTGCATGTTTCAGGCACCAAGAAGATGGAATACAAGACCAGACAATGGCACGAGAAGTGCTTCTGCTGCGTGGTCTGCAAGAATCCGATCGGCACGAAGAGCTTCATCCCGCGCGAGCAAGAGATTTACTGTGCCGGATGTTACGAGGACAAGTTCGCCACCCGGTGTGTTAAGTGCAACAAGGTGGGCCACTCCTTTCTCCGTATCGATGATTGCTCCGCGATCCCGTCTTGCGTTCGTTTATTGCGTGTCGCGCAAAAAGCTCGTCGAGCGTAACAGGCGAATCAAAAATGGGATCTCGTTGCGAGATCATAAATCTCAATCCGATAAAGTCACTGATACAGATGCTGCATTCGTATTGATGCTTTACAGTTACGTAGGTCGTTAAATGAAACGGCCAACAGCATTCGGTATTCATTTAACTCATATAATATAAACGTATCAATCACGAAATTATAGACGTTCTTTTTTATTTTCGACAAAAGTCCTGTATGCTTTTAAATGTCCGCATGTTTTTAACATCCTTCCATAAATCTTTCATAAATCACTTGCAATCTTTGGAATTCGTTTCCTTTCTATTGATGCGTATGATGTAACTTCAATATCATCTGTCAAACGGCTCTTCAACCACTTGTACACATATTGCGTCGATATCAGTGCTTGCGTCAATCTATATATATATTTAAAGCAAAAACGTTATTAAAAGAGAGTTTTTTTATTTCTATATATATATTTTATATCCTATATGTCTACATAATATATATAGACACATATAGTCCTTTATCTGTTTTTCAACTTGAACTTTTATGCGGATAGTCAGTTAATCGATTCTTGCTACCGTTACTTTCTGTTTCTGCTATTTTCTTCGCATCGTGTTTTGAAGCGAAATCTCGAGAAATAAGTTCTATGAAGTGTGTTTAAAAAACTCGAGTGAATTGCGTCGCAGAGACACAACAGATCGATGAAACGACTTGTCCTATATGAGATATCGCGAACTGTTTGTTGCAGATCATCACCAGCGGCGGCGTGACATACAAGAACGAGCCGTGGCACAGAGATTGCTTCACCTGCAGCAACTGCAACAACTCCCTGGCGGGACAACGATTCACGTCGCGCGACGACAAACCGTACTGCGCCGACTGCTTCGGCGAGCTCTTCGCCAAGAGGTGCACCGCTTGCTCCAAGCCGATCACCGGTGCGTATCATCTTTATTAGTTATTAATAAAAAAATTATTTTCTTGTTAATAAATATCCAACGATAAGTATTAAGAAAGGTTTAAGAAGCTGAATCTTCAAAAATAATCCAACTTGATAATAGATCTTTTAACGAATATACGCGCGTTTACCGTTAGAAACAATTCCGAATACAATACACGAACGCGATATAAGTGAACAGCTGGAATTAAGCTTAATCTAAGCGCGATTTGCATCGATTAATTCGCAGGTATTGGCGGGACTCGCTTCATCTCATTCGAGGACAGGCACTGGCATAACGATTGCTTCATCTGCGCGGGCTGCAAAACTTCGCTGGTCGGACGTGGCTTCATCACCGACGCCGACGACATCATCTGCCCCGAGTGCGCCAAGATGAAGCTGATGTAAGGCGCGCGGCTTCACGACGACGACATTGACAGCGGTGTCGACAGGGGAGGAGCGAAGGGAGAGGAAAGGATGAGGAGCAAGACGCACTCCGACGCGGAATCCGTATAGTCAAGCGGATTCCGTTGCACGCCATAATAATACCGTCGTCGCGAATCTTATTGACCGTCAAGTCAAACTTGAGACACGCACGCAGACGATAGAGAACGTTCGCGGAGCTCACATCGAGGGACGAGAGATCGCGGGGAGACGTAATAAAAATTATAAATTAAAAAAGAAAAGCAGAACCTTCGCGTTAGCGCCGCGATAATTTTTGTTACGAATAACCGACGTGTTTCGACGAGATTTTCCGCGCCGACTTTCTTTCAGAGGACGGCCAAGCTCGTGAATCCTCTGACCAAGTCCTCGTCTTGGTCGGCACAGTGATTTCACGATCGTCGACTGATCGTTCGGAAAGGAAGGCGGCGCCGAGAGTCATTTCTAGCTTCGTAGTCGTAGCGACATTAGTCTATTCGTTATTTCGTTCTATACGTGTATTTATGAGGACACTGACGCGAATCTGCCTGTGTTCGAAATGATCTGCTCGATCACCGCGTGACATCGGGTAGTGAAAGAGATACGACAACGGGAGAGAAGAAACAAAAAAAAAAGGGGGGGAGGATGCGCAACCAGCGAGCTTCATGAAGAGAAATCAAATCGCCTTACTGTAATAAAACGATCGTTGATATACGGACACGTCGATTAGGATAATGAATAAGCCTAAGCGCTCCGCGTGCTCTCGTGATGTTACTAATATTAATAACGTTTTTGCTTTGTACAATGGTAGAGAGATAAGCGCGCGTGTGCGCACAAAGAGAGTCCTACATATTATTATATATTCTTATGAAGAACTAAAAATTTGATATACGTATAGCGATGTTATTTCTATTCGACTCGCACCCGCGCGAAAAACGCGACGGTCTAACATGTACACATCCACGCCACACACTGACACAGGTCTATCAGACACTATTTTTCCTTTTCTTGCCTTCTTTGTACGACACTCTGTTCTCTCGTAATATCCGAATAATATAATGTCAGCTATTAATAAACGGAACTGCGAAATTAGAAAATCTATCTCTACCAATTTTCCATATATTACACGACGTTTTCCAAAACTGTCAATACATATATTCGGATTTTGAGAGAAAATTATTTTAATGCCCGAAGAATCGGCAGAGTGAAAAATTTTTTTTATCAAAAGATTTATCGGTTTCTGTACACGTTACACACACGCGTGTCGTCAGTCAAAGCAGAATACGATAAACAATATGTACGTGTTACGGTTTTCACGATGTCCCGGCTCTCTTCTCTTCTCGGTCCTTTTCTCCCTTTCTCTCGTTCGGCGAGAGAAATAGGCGCGCAACGTAGGGATCCATCATTACCCCGTGTAAATCGCGCGCGCACACACAAATACACACACACGCGTCACTTACATACATACGCACACGCACACACACTTACATATGACACACGACACATGCGTACACGACACAGATATACACACACATGCTGCGAACATTTTTTTGCAATAACATGTTAAAAGAGTTTTGTTGAAAAAAGATGTAGGAGAAAGAGAAGGGACAAAGCTCTTATCCATTACATATGCACACATGTACACGGACATACACGAGTATACTCACACATATAAGTATACATACATGCGAACGAGTGTGCGACGGACGCACACGCGGAAATACTAATTGTGGCCTTATCCGCACCGAATACCATAGGAGTAAAAAAAAAAGGGAACTAACTTACAGTAATTTACTTCGTTATTTAATATCAAATCTGTTGTTATACAACGCGAACGAAGGTAAGTGTAACGCCGCGCGAACAGAGTCCACGAACACGGGAACTACGAGACAAGTTCGAACCACGAACGTTCGAATTGTTAATCGCAACCAATATAAGTCACACACGTGCTATAATATAATATGTATGTTATCCGACGGAGTCACTTACACACACTAATCGCCTTAATTAGTAAACGATAAAAAAAAAGAGATTATTCTATATTCAGCGTATCCTATACACTGTTACACTGTAAAATTGATAAATAAATAAATGTAATTATTTACACAGGGGTTTCCTACCTCATCTCCTATCATCGAAAATTCTACTGAAATTGAGAATGATAGAGAGAATTCATTACACAATGGTAATGAATTACCAACTCACTTACCTCGTAATTAACGAAATTTTTGTATTTTTAACGTTAAATATGGTTGACACACAGAAATAAAAAGTTAAATAGTTATTTAATATATTAATACACACACATAATTAACAATAGTCACTTATTATTAATACATTAAAAAACTAAATAATTAAAAATAGCTAATCTTATTCAGGTACTTATAGAATTTGATTTTTTAATAGTACCAAAACACCACTAAATTTTAAGTTTTAAATTTAAAAATTAAATTAAGAATGTAAATTGAATTTATTTTATAATATAATATATAATATACTATAATATATTTTTTAAATTTAATTCTAAATTCTAAATTTTTAATTTAATTTTTAAGTATAGAATTAAAAATTTAGAATTTATATAATTTAAAATTTATACAAAATGTGTTAAGATTTTTTCCACTTTTTGAAAAAAAAATTTATAAAAATAATTTAAATACTTTAAATAAGTAATGAATATTAATGCTTATTCTTAATGCTTCTTAACAGCCTATTGATTAATTTACATGCTATTAATCTATTTAACATACGAATTATCAAAACATGCAATGAAAACAGCCGTTCATGACGAGAGGTAACGTACATATAATATGCACCCAGATGATTATTTAGCATTAAAGGGAAGAAAATAATTTTAAATATGATTTCCGATTTATATGCCTTTTTCAAAAGTGGGTAATAATTCATACATGTAGAATTGATTCTCTAATTTACTTATATTACCTGCAAAACCTGAAGGAAATAATTAATAAAAAATAATAAATCGTAAATTTTAATCAAGAATTGAAATTACACTTTCAGCAGAATTATAATTTACAGTTACAGAACTGTGATACGATCAAATTGATTTGATTAACAATTCGTCAATACAAGATTGTCCAATATGATATTAAATTAAATAGATTAATTAGAACAGAAACATAATTAAACGTCTGATAACGTTTATTCTGCTGCCATCTAGCAGATCAGGTAAAGCCATCTTCTGCTGATGATGTTCTACCCACAGATGTAAAATTAGTTTCTCTTTTCTTCTATAGATGTCTGTACTATTTCCTTACGCGATATGATAAAACAATCGTGATAAAAAAATTATTATAACTTTTTAGTTGACATACTTTTAATTAAATCATTAATTTCCAATTTTTATCAATATTTCTTTATAATAAAATGTTAACGACAATTTCCAGTTTAAATAAACGTTAACAATAGATGGAGTTGTCACAAAATTAATTCAATTTCCATTAAATTTAGTTAAATTTTTAAAACAAAAAGCAAAAAGATGAATGGAAAGACTGAATAATGTTGTACGATTATATTCTCGTCAAACGTAATAAACCTGTTTTTTCGGTTCCAGTACTTATTTCATTTTTTTGCTGCTAAAACTCAATTTCAGCAATTTGTATAAAGATTAAAGACTGGTTTCACACATGCATCGCAGAAGTGGAAATTTATTTCGGCACACACAGTTGAATATGTGTAAGGGTCTGCACCACACGTAAATCGGCGTCTCGAGTTCATCATCGGCATTAAGGTCGTGTTGTCGGAGGTCACACGATAGGTCAATGCACGCTCGCCTCTCCTGCGTGACAGCGAGCCACCCGTTGGATGACAACCTCCAAATTACAATTTATTTCATCAGTTCCGACATCAATTTATCCAAGCCCACTTACAATGACTCTTTTACATCACCCGGAGCCCCCAGGCGCTATATAATTTCGAGGACTCCTCCCGCAAAAAACGGGAGATACCTTCCAAGAAAGTTATTCGTAAGTTTACGTGCGAAGTCTTATACTCTTTGCAAAATAAACTTTAATTATAATATTAATAAATCATATTGTAACCTTTAGTAATATTTTTTGGCATACTCCCTAAGTTTTATAAATTGCAATTTTGTTATTGTCTTTTACAATGTCTTCACAAAGTGGATTCAAAAATACAATGTTTATGTATTATTTAATATATTTTTTATATATTTATTTTTTATAGAGATAATTATCAAAAATTAAATGAAAAGATACTTCGAGTTTATTCGAGTATATATGTATAGATATATATATTCTATCTATTATTCTGTTTATAATAGAGGTCAGCTCTATATTAGCTTAAGGAAAAATCTAAAGAAGGATTTTTTTAGAAACTCGAGGTATTATTTTTTCATTTAATTTTTGATAATTATCTCTATAAAAAATAAATATATAAAAAATATATTAAATATGTATACATATAATAGAAAAAAAAAAATATATATATATATATCTGATTCAGATTATATTAAAAAACGAGACTTATTTTGAACGTTTCCTCTCCATTTTAATACAAAAATGAATGAACTCCAACTCGGTCCCAACATCCGTACAAAAGCGTTGACGACAGTTTTGGAACGGTGATTCTCTATGTATGCACAAGCTACCCCGTTTCTATAACATTAATCTCCTTTTCGAAGTTACGCTCCCCATCGCGTTTAAATCCGCTGAACAGGACGACCCGCGCATTCCCGATGCAGAGTCGCTCTGTAAATTTATTAACCAACGCACGTCCGTATCACGCTGTAAGCCAAATTCTACAACAGCCCCGAATCGAACTGATAATTACACGTGGGCCACACGCACACGCGCGGACGACCCGTACGCGCTTACACGCGCGAACGAGCGTACCGCGCTCGGGGTAAGGAGAGGTCGATGGAAAGTGGTATAATCGCGAATGTGGATCGACTCAAGGAGAGCAGAGAAGAGGAGATCCTTTACCTTACTTATGTAACGAGCGACCATGGTGGTGTCTCGTGTCTTCGACCGCGTCCCGAAGAGGGAGAGCGAGCGCGCTCTGATGGCCTCTCTCCTCGGAGAGGCTTGCCGGCTCCCCGTTCTCTCTCCTCCGCCCCTTCCCTCCTCGTCCCCCACAAACGTCACCGTTCGCCTTGACTCTGTCCCGCTCGTGCTCCGCTCGACACTGTCCCTGAAAATCCCTCCACGGGACTCGTCCACGCAAGCGCGAGCTTAATAGGCATTCGCTTGTAATTGTAATTATTATCGAGCCAACGAACAAAGGGATATTCGTCACGAGCTGCATACTATGCGCGCTACATATATAATTAACAATATTTAAGACTCACGTGAGAGAGAGAGAGAGAGAGAGAGAGAGAGAGAGAGAGAAAGAGAGAGAGAATTGTGATTGATTTGCTTCACTTATTAGTCGAGTTAAAAAATTCTGTTATTTAAATAATATTTAAATACATATTCGTTAACATATTACGTCTTATTTATTATTTTGATTATATTTAAGTTATAGAACACGCGACCTTTTGGTACATTTGAATATTATTTGATACATCGAAGTTTTCTGAATATTAGATGCGAAATAACATAATTCCGAAGAGAATTGGGATACTGCAGTAGAATATGTAATAACACGATAAATTGCCTCTGCTCCTTCGTATACGTCAGCTTGTATGAGAATTCTCGTAAACCGCCTTATCCCCCAGAGGAGACAGCTTTGGATGCTGTCCACTCGAATCCTAATCTTGCTCCTCGTGTCTTTGTGGGCTTTGGTCATGACGTTCCTCTTGGCCCTCTCCGGAATCTAATAGACATAACGTTACATCCTCGGCGAGCTGGTTCGTACTGCGGCGGGTTCTGGCTTCGTCTCTCTCTCATCTAGCATCTTTCTTCTTTGATCCATTTCCCATATGTCCCTCGCGTCTCTGTCCATCTACCTCGAATTTGTCTGACATCGGAATCTCACTGTAGAATGACTGTTAAGTCTTCAATCTCGAGGTCAACAGCGCGGACGTTTGCCGCGTAGTCTTGTCGGACGCCTTCCTCGATATAAATAAAACTATAAAACCCATTTGTTTTTTCTTTCGCACATCGAGAGAGCCAAGAGAAACGTTCCCAAACCACGTCCGTTCGATTTCCAAGAAATCTAATAGATTTGTGAAGCAAACATAATTAATTTCAATATATTCTTTTCCGTGAATATTGAAATTTAAGGATCGATGTTACATATTTAAAATTAATCAATTTAATCACGTATGCGTATGTTATGATGTTAAAAACGGGGAAATTTCTGCTCTCACGTAATCTCGTGTAACTACGGAAAAGAGATTTAAAATAAAGGTAGAACCTCGTAAATATCTCTTGTTTACACTGCTTATTAATGAATTATAGAAAAAATATTTCAGAGAAAAAGAATCATCCGCTCTGAGACGTCAATGTGACGAACTGCAAAATATTATTTCCATTATTTCTACAAAAATCATATTTACACTGCTTATCGTTGTGAATTATAGAAAAAACATTTCGGAGAGAAAAAAAACATCTGCTCTGAGACGTCAATGTGACAAACTGCAAAATGTTATTTCCGCTATTTCTACAAAAATCCAAAGCCTTGGCACAGCCATGACGCACAAGCGAGTCTATTTTCAAGGATTTATTTTTATTTTTAATCACTTTCCATGGTTGCACGTTGATTTTATAAAAGCACACAACTCGCTATGGAAATTTTCACGCTTCCAACGCTCAATACGTAACTAAGACCGGCAGAGTTTCGCGTCGTCTTAAATTTTTACAAAATTGGCCTTGGAATGGACAGGCAAATCGGCTGAACGAGCACAGCACAGCGACGCGACGCCGCGTAAAAAGTTGCCGTACTGTTGTAGCGGTGTTATTCCGGCGTGAGATGATTTCGACACCGAAAACGGGGGCCTCCGTTGTTGTCGGAGGTCATTCGTCGGTTCAACGTTCGGGCCATTTACCTGTCCGCCAACACGAATCCTTGGCCGCTGACATTGTGAGGAGCGACATTAGCATCCCCGCTTGCGGGCGACTATTGTAACACCTCGGAGACAGAGAGACCGACGTGAAAGGGCATACCGAGTGCGCGGATCGTGA